ATGGGCAGAGCCGGGCCACGGGCCCGCCTGCGGGAACGGTGGGGCTGCTGGCCGTGCCGGGGGGGCGGTGCCGGCTGCCGCCCTCCTGGCAGGGGCAGCCCCGGGGTGCGTGGCCTCCTGCGGCTGCTGCTGCACCTCTTCGGCGTGGCCGTGCGCTTGCCTCTTGCAGACGGGACGTCTCATGTCACTGTAGTTTGACGGATGATCTCATCCGTGAGAAACTGCAGTGTGCGTAATTGCTGTAGTTTAACAATTAACGATTCTGAATTGAAAAACTGCTAAAAGCTTACTGTGCATTAAATCAAAGTAAACGATCAGGAGCTTGAAGTTAGCCTTGCCTTGGTAATAACATACCATGAAACACACAGTGCATCGCAGTGGGTCAGAATTTTTAAAGCAGCTTTGCTCTGTGGTACTTAAGTTGAAACACCTCCTTTAGGTTTAGTAATGGCTATGAATTATTTAACAGATATTACGGTAGTGGTGGGAGGCCCTTATCAGGAGAAGGTTTTAGTAACAACTTAATTATCACCATAAATAATTTACAGATTAATTCCTTTTCCGCAGTGGAAGCATATACGTAGTTCTGTGAAGGCAACAGAAGCACACTCTTGCTTCTGAAATAGAAAGCAATTTGAAGGTTTGGGGCCAGATGATGAACATTATCTGCAGGAGATAATATAGCTTAATATATGTTTATGTTACAAAAATATTCAAAAATGGACTCTTAGATACAGAGGCAGTTTAGTAGTAGCTGCTGACTGATCTGAAATTATTTTTTGGAACACTTCACCTCTTATCTGAATAGAATTGTGTATCATATTTGCTTCTCATCTCGGAGTCTGCTAGTAATTGTCTCTGCTTTCAAACAAAAATAATCCAAAATTAAGGGTCTGAATATTTAGGTTCTGCCTGGTAAGAGTCTCAGTTTTCCTATTTCTAAAGTGATTAAAGACTACCCTAACTTTTGAACAGGAGTGCGGTGCTAAACAACTTGATGATCATACACTGCTGTTTCGTAGGATTGCTGAGACAAGAAAACTATGTGTTTAGGTTGAAATGTCCCATAATTCTTCCTGGTGAAAATTCTAAATGTAATCAGTGAAGAACTAGTGACTGACAGTTTAGATGCAACACTGTCATTCATATTGTTGTTCTTACAACGTTAACATGGCTGAAAAGTTGAACTTGTGTATTTATGAAAAGCACAAGGAAGGATAAAGGAAGTTTCCTAAACTCTTAACTAGGGTAGTCATCACCTTGTTTTCAAAACTGCATTAAACACTTTTGCTTCTCTCTCTTCTTCAGTAGCTTACTTGTTCTCCAAATTTTGTTCAGTGTCTAGCATGTGACTGGAGAGAGCTTAGTGATTTTAAACAATATTTGGGTGTGCACAGACCATTGCAAGAGAACAGTGTAGAGTAGCTACATCCCCTCAGTAGAGTTACAGTACTTATGGTGCAGATTAAAATTTTCTTCATTGGCATTTAGAGTGTATGCTTTCCATGACAACAAACCCATTTTACTGTGCACTATACTGAACTATGAGTAGGGGTCTGGTTGCTCCATCTTAGCTGAGAAGGCCCTTTTAATTGCTCAGTCATGATTGTTTCCAGTTGTTGAGTTATGCTTTTATCTGCCAGCACTTGAGTTCTGGTAGATTTAACTGTGATGCTTTACCAGCTTGCTGAGTAGCAATCCATCCTGCATTTTTAACTGAGACTACTGATTCCCCATTTCCCTTTTATAGGGATGAATGAACATGTGCAGATCGCTAGCTGTCACAGTTTGTGATCCATCCTAGTAGTTTTAAGTTCGATTTATGTTAGCAGGTTGGACTGTAAAGAATATTTCTAGCACAGGAGTTTTTTGACTAGGGCAGTCGTTTGCAGCACAGTGACTACAGAGATGTCTGAGGATAGCAACTCTTAAAAACCAATATGACTGATTGTGAAAAGTTCTTTAAGAAAAGTGAAAGTCAGTGTCTTTTCAAATTTCAAAGGCCTGAAATGATTTATGATCCTGTAAATTGCTACAGAATAGGGGGTGGACTTTTAAATATACAAAGGCTTTGAAGTTTCCAAATCACAGATTTTATAAACCTGCTTGTCACAGTTCTTATAGGTAGAAGGATGTGAAACAGTGAGAAAACTAATTCTGTTGCACTAGAAACATGTTTGGATGCAGGAGGGGTTTATTCTATACTTATATTTAAAAACAGTGTCTATGAGTTTACAATATCACTGGCCTATAAATTATTCTAAGTCAGAAGCTCTACTGTTTTTGCACATTGAATCACCTCGACAGGAGTCATACGCTATGATATGAAGGCACATACCAGATGATTCTTTTTGAAAAAAGAGGCTTATTAAGAAATTGCAGTAGTACTCTTGTTTTGTTTTGTTATAATGACTTCTATGCCTTTTTTACCCTGTCAGTGGACTGGTTTTAGAGTATAGCAGATGTTACTCTAGAAACTTTGGGAAGAAATATGTGCTTGAGATAATTACATATGCAGAATGGCTTAATTCTTAAAGTTTTATTCTGCTAAATTCTAAATACATTCTTGATTTTTGTAAGGTGTTCAAAACTAGTATTTCCTAAAACATTACTTTTCCTACATCCTATGTAGTTTAAGTAGTAAACAGGAATAACCATTTGCTTGAAAATTATCTAAAATACATTATAATCTAGTCAGAGCATCTCCTTTGCTATGTAATTTGGAATCTAACAGTGGACTTAACAAGGCTGTTCTCTGACTAAAGAGGGAAGGTTTATAGTTCTTTACATACAAAATTGTGATAAGGCTGGGATTTAAAACTAACAACTTAGTATCCACTGCTTTGCCTTCAGAGTGATGGAGGCAATCTTATGTTTAGTTCTCATTGTTTCCTCATTGAGAGGAAACTGTGTGGTGGATTCAGGAAACAAGTGCATGTGCATTCTGTGTTCTTGTCCGTAATGTTTGATGCCATTAGAAGTGAGATATCTTTAGATCATATGTTAAAAGTCACTTCTGTCATTTGCCTGAGATCTCTTTTTTCCTTTTATTTTTTTTAGAAGGAAAATGTAATGGAAAGAGTGAGATTCAGACATACAAATATGTATATGACTTGGGAATTCTGTGTCTTAAGAGTACCTGTAGGTCCTCTTGATCTTAAATGAGAGTTTTATCTGTATTTAGAATTTGGGGGATTGCTTATGGGTTGTTTGGATGACAAACAACCTACTTGGCTTTGGGAAATGAAAGTGCTCGTTACTTCAAGATACTGATAAGAGCCTTAGTCTAAGAAAAATGGCAAAAGTGGGTGTGAAAGTGTGTGGTTCATTAGTGATTTTTAACAATCAGCTTTGTTTTAGAAAGGGAAAGTTTAGCTTATAGAAGATACATAGTTCCCTTAAATAAAGCTTCAGATTCATTATGTGTGTTTACTGCTTTGGGAGTTAAATAGTGCAATTCCTTGGCAAAGAGAATGGACTATGGCGATTGTTATTTTGATCTGAATGCATGTAAAAGGAAATAGTGTGATTTTGAAATGGGTTTGATCGGGGTGGTGTATGGTCTAGAGTTTGTTTAACCTTGAGATTTAAAAAATTTTTTATTTTTTTTTTTGAATGCTTATTTTTCATATAAAGCCTCCCTTTGATTAGCAGCAAGGAAAAATTTCAAGAATGTGACATGGAGCGGTATCAAGACCTTGTTCATACAGGCACAGGAAACCTTGCAAATCTCAGAATAAAATACATGAATTTACAGGAGATTGCCATCCTGGGTGCATGTTTCTTCCTGCTGGTGGTTGTATCATTCTGTCAAAGATTTGAGTGATTAACATGAACAGTATTTTTTCCTATGATAGTTAATTGAATTGGGA